GGCCTGACTTTTCTTTTCCTACCTGAGGAGCTTAAAGCTTGTGGGGGGAAACCTGGTTATGCCTTCAGGACACATGGAAACAATTTCCTTTCCTTTCCTTTCCTTTCCAGACACAGTTTTCCCTGCGTTGTTTTGTTCTTTTCATCCCTTTTCATCTCCCCACCCACTCCCCAGCCCCCAACAGCTTTTAATCGAAACAAGCAAATGCATCTACATTCATTTATTTGGGGTACCAAAAATATTAACTTTAGTTCTTTGCTTACAAGAAATTAATATTCAGTGGTACTCCCTTGGAAGAAAAACAACAGTGGCTGTGTGAAATGACAACTTCAGTGGTCTTTGTGTTTCTTTAACAAAAGACCGAGAAGGCAAATCTGAGATGACTGTTTTGATTCAATTTTTTGAGGGAATACACTTAGCAGAAGGGCATTTTGCATAGAGGTAAGGATTGAAGGTTAAAACCAAGCGCACTGCCCCGAGCTGGCACCAACTCATAGTGACCGAACTACCCAGGGTTTCTGAGGCTGCAGCTTTTGATGGGAACAGAAAGATGAGGCTGGTGGCTTCAAACGGATGACATTGTGGTTAGTGGTTCAACTGAGAACCTGCCACCCCACCAGGTGAACTCACTCTTGAGTGGATGCCCACTCAGAGGGGCCTATAGAACAGGGTAGAATTGCCCCTGGAGTTTAGACTGTAGCTCTTTATAGGAGTAGAAAGTCTCAGGTTAGGAGAGATAAATTAAAGCTATAATTTTTAAGCCCCACGAGATTATGTTAGCAATCTAGATCAAGTTAGAGACTTTGGTATAACAGGACACTCGACTTAAATCTGCATCCTTTTAATATTATTTTGTAAACAATGAATAGTAACGTTTAGCATGGCTTTAATACCTGACACATGCCTGTAAGTCTTAGAACAAAAATCAGCAAATTCAAAAGCACAGAAAGGACTCACCCTTCAGAATGACAATTTAGGAAGCAATATACATCACTTCCAAGAAAGAAAAGGGGAGGAACTAGAACTCCTGGCACAGGCAGTGAGACACAGCATGCAGAGTTCTACAGAGAGGGAGCACGCAGCTCTCCATTATTGAAGCAAGTCCATTTCGGTTCATGGGGGAAATGTTAAACTGTCAGGCTTGACGGCTTATTCACCACTAGGGGGCAGGAACTGCCCAAGTCATTCTGTTCTGCTCCTTAAAATAGACAAATATTTAAAATGAACATAATAACTGCGTCAAAAGCATTCTCTCCCTAATGAAATAGTTCTTTGGAAGCCAATAATGAATATTACTGTTAACTTTATTACACTATGGACTTTGGAGTAATGAACTGAACCCTGTATGGAGTTTCACAAAATAAGCAATCAACAGGTCATGACTAAGGCAGTTAAAAATAATAATAAAAATACACAGAATAGAATAAGAAAAGGTGTTACGCACCTTCTGTAACTTTAGGCAGTTCTGGAGAGTAAAAAGGTATGAGAAAAGCAGAGGAAAGCAAGCAAAGAATATTAGCTGGGTAGAAAAGCACACAGGTTTATTTTATTTTACTTTTAAAATACTACCCATCCCTCATTCGGACTTCATGCTAAAATCAAGGTTTAAAAGGCAACATCAAAATCAACAAAGCAGAAAGACTGCTGAAGCTCAAAGTTTCAG